CCACCTCCGCCCCCGCCTCGTCCTCCTACTCCGTCTCCTCCTCCTCTTCGTATTATTATTACTATTCGTATTATTCTTAGTCGCATTAATAGTCTTAGGATTGTTGGTATGTGTTGTTGTCTTCTTATGTGTATTAGTCGTAGCGTTCGTAGTATTAGTGTTAGACGTCGTATTAGTATTCGTTTTAGTAGTCTGTTGTCTTAGTATTCTTAGTAGTAGTATGTTTCGTAGTCGTGTGATTCTTCGTTTGTTAGTATTGATAGTTTTCGTACTACTCTTCTCTTTCGTATTAGTATTATTATTCGTAGTCGTATTATTAATCTTAGTAGTACCATGTTCATGATTAGTAGCATTATTCTTCGTCAGCTGAGTAGTAGTATTATCATTCGTGTGAGTACTAGTACTCGTCGTCTTCGTATTGTTGTTAATATTAGTCGTTGTGTTATGACTAGGACTATTATTTGTCTTGCTTGTGTCATTCGTCTTCGTCGTATTATTAGTAGTCTTATTATTCGTGGTAGTTGTATTAGTAGTGTTCGTCTGCGTATTACACGTATTGTCCTTCGTATTGTTATTATTCGTCTTATTCTGATTATTGAATATTCTTAATGTTATTAGTCGGAGGTTGGGGGGTGAGATCGAAGTGGAACGGAAAGCCCCCCTACCGGGAAATCGATTTCGGTTTCGTGTTCGTGCGTGCCGTGCGGGCGAGGCGAAGCTGCGTGGGCGGGCGAGAGGAAAGTCTCCTGTGGCTGAGGCGCGGCCGGACCAAATGATTCTCCGCCGGGCGGCCGGTGGCGCGCGGTGTCCCGCCGGTGTCCCGCCGGTGTCCCGTCGGTGTCCCGTCGGTGTCCCGATGATGCTGTTGATGATGATTATGATGATGATTATGATGATGATGATGATGGTAATGATGATGATGAGATGATGTTGATGATGGCGATGATGATGATGATGATGATGATGTTGATGTTGATGTTGATGTGATGATGATGATGATGATGATGATGATGATGATGATGATGATGATGATGATGATGATGATGATGATGATGATGATGATGATGATGACGTCGATAGTGATATCGATTGTGAGATCGGTAGTGAGACCGAATGAGACAGCGAATGAGGTCTTCTCTCAGGTTCTCCTCCACCACGCACAGTGTTGCGCCGCTTCCGGGGCCGATCCACGATCTGCGGGCTTCAGCAGGCCTCCGACAAAAAAATCTCCACTGGCATCGTCAGGAGAACAATCACCACTGTTGCCCATTGTTCGGCCCCTCCACCCCCCCCAACCTCCTTATCACCCGTAGGGTGGTCGTATAGGTATTCGTCTTATTCGTTTTAATATTATTATGATGATTATTAGTATTATTATTATTATTATTATTATTATTTCTAGTATTATTATTATTATTAGTAGTAGTAGTAGTAGTAGTATGCTTATTATGCTTATTATTCCTCCTCCTTCTCCTCCTCCTCTTCCTCTCCTCCTCCTCCTCCTCTCCTCCTCCTCCTCCTCCTCCTCCCTCCTCCTCCCTCCTCCTCCCTCCCCCTCCCCCTCCCCCTACTCCTCCTCCGCCTCCTCCTCCTCCTCCCCATCTTCCTCCTCCTCCTCCTCCTCCCTCCTCCTCCTCCTCCTCCTCCTCCCATCCTCTCCTCCTCCCATCCTCCTCCTCCTCCTCCCATCCTCCTCCTCCTCCTCCTCCTCCTCCTCCTCCTCCTCTCCTCCTCCATCCTCCTCCTCCTCCCCTCCTTCTCCTCCCATCCTCCTCCTCCTCCTCCTCCTCCTCCTCCTCCTCCTCCTCCTCCTCCTCCTCCTCCTCCTGCTCCTGCTCCTGCTCCTCTTGCCCAGGGCAGGAGGACACACACACACACACACACAGAAACAGATCCTGGAGCGGTGGAGGTTTATAGTTGGCGCCTTCCTAACTGAGCATCGTTTCTCTGCCCCCTGTCCCACTGTGCGTGGCCTGGGCCCCACTGGCCGATGTAACCCCCTAGATGGGGATACAGGCTGCTCCCTGCGGGTTTCGGGGAGGGATGGGGCTGGGGCTGGGGCTGGGGCTGTGGCTGGGGATGGAATAAGGATAAGGGAAAGGAATAGGGAAAGGGATGGGGGATGGGAATGGTTGCTGAGATGGTGTGGGTCTGGACAGGGATGGGGATGGGGACAGGGGTCGGTTCGACGATGCCGCCGAACCTGGCGTTACTCGCCGCCCCATGGGTGGCGTCGTCCCCGCACGACGTGGCGTCGCCATAGCTCCGGAGGCACCAGGTGTCGCGGAAGCTGCCAAACCCCTGCACGGATCCGAAGTTACCGCAGTCGATCCCGAACATGATGGCACCGATCATCGCGGTGCTGATGGCCACGTACATGCGAGCGTTCGGCTGGGACTCGGCCGCCATTCCGAGCCGTTGCAGGCTGGGGTCCCCTCAAGTCCAACAGGTCGAGCGCGTCGACTGAGGTGCAGTGAAGCCAGAGCTTGGTAGTTTGAGCCGAAAAAACGCTCAAACAATAGCCACGGACGGAGGAGGAGGAGGAGGAGAATGTAGAAGAGGGGGAGGAGGGGAAGGGGGGGACGGAGGAGGAGGAGGGGCAAGGGGAGGAGGAGGAGGAGGAGGAGAGGAGGAGGAGGAGGAGGAGGAGAAGGAGAGGGAGGAGGAGGAGGATGGGGGAGCGGCAGCAGTCGGCATCTCGCGGGGGGGGGGCGGCGAAGCGACGCCCATTTACACAGGAGGCATCTATACACCACCACCGTGCCAAGCCAGGGTCATTCTGGCCCTGGCACGGTGTATACGCCCTCCTGGCCGAGGCCAGGAGGGTCTATACACCATCCTAGGGCCCAGGATGGCCCTGGCCTGGCACGGTGGTGGTGTATAGACGCCTTCGTCGGAGGCCATTCGCAGAGGGCCCAGGGCCCAGGGGAGGTGCGACGAGCGAAGAGGCAGTCCCGTGCGGAGAGCCCAGGCACGAAGGGGCGAGCGGGGGGGGGGGGGCTGCCCTCGGCCCAGGCCCGCAGGAGCTGCGGCCGTTCTCGACACTCGCGCCAGCTGTGCTCCAGCTCAAGCACTCTTCCCGAAACAAGAAACGTCCACACCACCCCGCCCGACGCCCTGCTCTGCCGCCCACCCCGCCAGCGCGCACCGAACCCACCCCCCGCATCTTGTGCTGCATCGTCGGGGGACCTTGTCTGTCCCGTCGCGCCGCGATGCACGTCGAACCCACGTCGACTCCGTGTCGAACGAGTCGAGTCCGTGTCGAACCCGCGTCGCATCCGTGCCGCATCCGTGCCTAAACCGCGTCGAACCCGTTCACAGGACAGGAGAGGTCCCCCGAGGATGCACAGCAGCATGTCGCGACCTGCCCCCCGCCTCCCCACGCCCACGCCCCACGAAGGACGGCGCGCCCTCCAGCTCCTCCGCGAGCAGTCCCACCCCCCACCCCCCACGCGCCCGTGGAACGGAGCTCAGGGGAGAGAAGAAGCACTCGAGGGCGGCACCCCCGGGGAGGAGGAAGAGGAGGAGGAGGAGGAGGAGGAGGAGGAGGAGGAGGAGGAGGAGGAGGAGGAGGAGGAGGAGGAGGAGGAGGAGGAGGAGGAGGGGGGGAGCAGGAAAACGTATGAAGCTCAAGGGGGAGCACCAGGCGAGGAGGACCTCCCATACAGGTACGTGGGGCGCGGCCAGCCGTGCTCGACACCCTGTTAACGCCCTCCTCACGGAGGGGGGAGACAAGTTGCTGCAGATGCGCATGGGCTTCTCAGGCGCGTCCGCCCGTTTGGCAACTCGGAGAACGCCACTCACGGGCGGAGGATGTTTCTGGCTCCGACGACGAGCAAGCGGCCCACGTGCACCCTGAAACAGCCTGGAGTAGTACAGGCGAAGGCCAGGTCGGCCTTGACCCATTTGCCCCAGGGAGGGGCCCTCTGCTGAGCCTGCCCCATGCTGCGCTATGTGCATCTGGCTGCCCGCACCCGCCGAGGCGAACCAGCCAACCTCCAGGGGTGGAGTTCTGCACAGCGCTGGCGGAGGAGGCTGAAGAGGAGGAGAGAGAAGCACGGAGAGAGGAGGACAAGCTAGGCGCGCTCGCGACGTATCTGATATCATACCCCTACCACCCGCCTCTGCCCCTTGCGCTGCGTTCCTCGATCCGCGGGCCTGCGTCGTGGCGGGCATGAAACTCCAACGAGGACCACGTCGTGTTGTGCGGCATCGGACAACAGGGAGCTGCGTACCTTGGAGGAGGTGGCGGGTAAACAGGAGGATGAGCAGAAAGATAAGCAGGAAGAAAAGGAGGAAGCGGAGGAGGACGAGGAGGAGGAGGAGGAGGAGGAGGAGGAGGAGGAGCAGGAGGAAGGAGGACGATGGCGAACAGGAGCAGAAGCCGAAGTAGAAGGAGCGGGAGGAACAGGAAGATCAGGGGAAGGCGGAGGAGGAGAATGAGGAGGGTGACAACGACGAGAAAAGACTGGGATCCAGAAAAAAGTGGCCGGCGCTCGGGCGAGAGCTAATTGGGCCCACGCTGCAGCGGGAGCACACTTGGAAGCACCGAAAACGATCCAAGATGGACTCAAGACGGCCCAGGAGGGCACCAAGATAGTCCCAAGACGGCCCAGGAGAGCCCCAAGACGACCCAGAGAGCCCCCCAGGATGGACTCTGACAGCGCCCGCATCGCCCTCAGACGGCCCAATGAGTACCCCCAAGTGCCCCCGAGGAGCCCCCAAGGCGCTGCCGGGCCCCACGAGGCCCCAATGAACCCTCAAGAGGCCCCCAGAAACCTTCAAGAGGCCCGAAGTTACACATGTGACGGCCTCACGTGTACCCTCGCATTTTCGCCACCAAACATGCCAGACTGGCACGGTGGCGGTGGCACGGTGGCGGGACTTGCCGCAGGCAGCTGGATCCGCCGCCCCCTGCTTGCAGGGGTGCACGGCGTGCTGGACGAGCTGTTAGGTTTTGGTTTTGGTTCTTTTTCCAAAAGAACTCCCCAGTGGGCTCCGGCAGAACCCGCCACCGTGCGCAAAAACGGCCGTTTCGCTCGGGACATCCTCAAAAAATCGCGAAGATGGCCCAAGATGGCCTCCAAGTCCGCCCGAGATGGTCCAAGACGGCCTCCAAAACGGCCCAAGAGAGTCCAAGACGGCCCAAGACGGCCCAAGAGGCCCCCCAGAGGCCTCCCAGACGGCCCAAGAGGCCTCCAAGAGGTCCTCCAGGAGAGTCCGAAGAGGGCAAAATCATTGATTTTCCCTTGGTTTTTGAAGGATTTTGGCATTTGCGCCTTTTCGGCTCTCCGACGGCTCAAGACGGCCCAAGAAGCCCCCAAGATCGCCCAAGAGGCCCCCAAGAGAGCCCCCTGATGGCCCAAGTGGCCTCCAAGATGGCCCCTAGAGGGCCCCAAGACGGCCCAAGAGGCCTCCAACACGCCCAAGATGGCCTCCAAGACGCCCAAGATGGCCTCCAAGACGGCCCTGGAGCGCCCCAAGAGGGTCCCCCGTTGGCCCAGAAAGGCCCCCAAAACGGCTCCCGACGGCGTCAGACGTGCCAGGAACCCACCAAGATGGCCGAAGTTGGCTCGAAGCTGGCCCAAAAGGGCCCAAGAGGCCCCCAAGAGGGCCTCCAGGAAGGCCAAAAGATGCCAAAATCACTGATTTTCCCAAGGTTTTTGATGGATTTGGGCATTTCCCTTCTTTCGGCCTTCCGACGGCCCGAGACGGCCCAAGAGCCCCCAAAGATCGCCGAAAGATCGCCCAAGAGGCCTCCAAGACGGCGACGATGACCATCAAGACGCCCACGTGTTCCCCGAAGGCTTTCCAAACCGATTCGGGGAACACATGGTCCGATGGCTTGGCAGGTCTGGCCTCAACGTTCGGCCACATAGGCGCTTCCACAAAGGCAGGGGGCGGCGGTGATTCGCCGTAGGCGTCTTCGATAATGTGTCATTGCGAAGGAGGGGCAGGAGGAGGAGGAGGAGGAGGAGGAGGAGGAGGAGGAGGAGGAGGAGGAGGAGGAGCAGGAGCAGGAGCAGGAGCAGGAGGACAGGAGGAGGGAGGAGGAAGAGGAGGAGGAGGGAGGAGGAGGAGGAGGGAGGAGGAGGGAGGAGGAGGGAGGAGGAGGAGGAGGAGGAAGAGGAGGAAGGAAGGAGAAGAAAGAGGAAGGAGGAAGGAGGAAGGAAGGAGGAGAACGGAGGAAGGAGGAAAAAAGAAGGAGGAAAGGAGGAGGAAGGAGGAAGGAGGAAGGAGGGAGGAGGAGGAGGAGGGAGGAAGAGGAGGAGGGAGGGAGGTGAGGGAGGGAGGAGGGCGGGGTACGGGCGAGGAAGCGGATGGCCGAGGCGCTGGGCGACGCCGACCGCGCTCTGGGCGAGCTCGAGGCACGCTTCCGCGCGTGCTGGCACGCGCGACGGCGCGCACCGGGGCGGGCCTGGCGCACGGCGGCCGTCGCCCGAAGGGTGGCGTGACCCGAGGCGGGCACTCGAGGGCTGCCAGAGGGGGGTCCGTGGCCCGAGGCACCCCTCTCCTCTGCGCGCCACCCGGGGGGGGCACCCGGGGCCCTCTGGGCCTCGGCGCGGGAGACTCTGCAGGCCGCGGGGGCCTCCCGGGAAGAGGTGGCGGGTAAACGGGAGGATGAGCCGAAAGATGAGCAGGAGGAGGAGGAGGAGGAGGAGGAGGAGGAGGAGAGCGAAAAGCAGCAGCAGCAGCAGCAGCAGCAGCCGGAGTGGGAGGAGCGGGAGGAGCAGGAGGGTCAGGGGAAGGCGGGGGAGGCCACTTTTTCTGGATTCCAGTCTCTTTACTGGAATCCAGAAAAGTGGCCCGCGCTCGGGCGAGAGCTCATGAGGCCCACGCACCAATGGACGCACCGAAAACAGCCGGACTGCAAACAACAATAGAACCTTGGGCCAGAAGCGCCTTGGGCAACACCCGCATGGGCGGGCCCACCCGTCTCCCCGGATGGCCAGGCGAGGTCCGACTGACGGCTCCCCTCGCCAAGCGCGCTGGGCGGCGGGCTTCTTCCGCAGGTCCTCGTTCTGGGTCGCCACGCCGACCGGGCAGCGGTTCATGTGGCACACGCGGGCCATGATGCAGCCCTCCGCGATCATCACGACGGTACCGAAAGGGGCGAGGGCGCGGGGACAACCGAGAAGCAAGCGGGGAGCGGGGACTGGTTCACGCAAGCTGGTAGGCGGGAGCCCCAAAAGTCAGGCCTCCGCAGGCCTCAAGACACCCTCCCGAGGCTCAAAAAGACCAACAGGGATAAAAAATGGTTTGGAGCGGGAAGATGTCGCAGGATAGATGTGGCTTCATCGGAATTGCAAGATCGACTAAGGGCGAACGGCCCACGATGCTGGCCAGTCCATACTGGGACACGCCAGGGGAGCCTGCACACCGATGCTGTGCCAAGGGACCTGGCCAGTACAGGTGCCTGTGTGTAGTTGATTGTTTGGGAGACTACGACATCGAACACAAGGAGCTGAACAAGTTGCTCACTTACACAACATCTGCCCT